ACCTGCTGAGGAGGACAGCTGTAAGTTTGAGGCCAGCCTGGGCTACATAGTGAGTTCAAAGCCAGTCTGTACTAGATAATGAGACCCTGTTTTGAAAGAAAGAAAGAAAGAAAGAAAGAAAGAAAGAAAGAAAGAAAGAAAGAAAGAAAGAAAGAAAGAAAAAAAAAAAAAAAAAAGCAGAGCTCTGGAGAGGTCAATAGAGAACATGAGAAGCTCTATTTGTAACCAAACAGAAGCTGGGAGGGGACTGGGGAAATAGCTCCTAGGTCTAAGACCTGCCTGGCAGGCACAAGGACTGGGGTTTGATCCCCAGTACCATATGCCATGCTGGCCCCTGAGATAAGGCGTGGTGGTGCACACCTGTAATCCCAGCACTGGGGAGGCTGAGACAGGAGGATCACTATGAGTCTGAGCTGCAGAGCGAGACCCTGCAGCAGATAAATAAATAAATAATTGGGGGAAAAAAAAAAAGCTGGGAGGAACTGGCTCTGTGGCCAATCAAAACACGGAAAGTCCACTCTTTACTAACACTAAGAAGTATACTGGCTTTCTCAATGGGAAAGGAGGAGGAGCCTGTGACCACCTGTAGTCATGTCATAGCTTTAAATTTTTTTTTTTGTTTTTTATATTTAGTACAGGGTCTACAGTGTCTCACTATGTAGATCGGACTTAGAGTGATTCTCCTATTTTCAGCCTCCCAAGTGCTGGGATTAGAGGAGTGCACCACCATGCCCAGTCTCAATCACTGTCTCAGTGCACCCTGAGGGCAGGGCCTGCGCAGCACACGGGGATCAAACCCTGGCCCCTGTGCTCTGTCTAAGCAGGCACTTTAGTCCGCTGAGCTATCTGGCCAGCCCTTAAAAAATTTATTTTCAAGACAGGGTCTCGCTCTGTGGCTCAGGTTGGCCTTGGACTCACTGTGTAGCACAGGATGCCCTTGAGCTCTCAGCAGTCCTCCTGCTTCAGCCTCCCTAGTCCTGAGATTACAGGCACTAAAGACAGGCAATATAGCACACCCCGCCAGGCTGGAACGTTCTGAGACAATCACAATGGAAGGTGAACAAGCAGCCAGTCAGAAAGGAACGTAGCACTGGAACCGCCCAGCCCAGCCTCTGGGTTGGCAGGGGTCTTCTTACCTCCATAGACCACTCCAAACTGCCCTGAGCCCAGCACCTCATCTGGGAAGATCTGGTAGACCGTGGCGATATCCTGCAGGGTGGAGATAGGGGCGTCACAGGTGCAAATGGCAACAAGGGGCCAGGAAGGGGAGGCTGGGGAGGTGTGTGGAATCAGGAAGGACTCTCACTCACCACATTCTCTTGGATCTGACTGTTAGACACAGAGATGCTCAGGGAAGCTTGTCCTGGGGCGAGGGAGAGACGGCAGCTCAGGACCCGCTCCACCCGGCCCGGCCCTGCCACCCCTCCACCCGGCCCGGCCCT